AACTGCACATTTCCAGGGTAGTTTTCTTCTGAAGAAATTATACTTTCCTTTCTAAGTAAAAATTTCTCAGAATAAAATATCCATCCACACAAACTGCATTTTCTTTATGGTTCTACTTTTTATTCACTGTAATTTTTTATAAACCACAAGTAAATGTGATATAGAACCATTTAAACTACCATAATTGCAATTCTCTAAACAATAATAAAAATTTCTAAGTGGTATAGTTTTAAAATATAGCTCATGTTCATGTACACTGTCACAAAACGTTTACTTTAGTAAATACTAAAATTGTGTATTTATGACTTGGTGTACTTATTTTATTATAATCAGGTTAACAATACAGATAGCTTAATTTATTAGGTAACTAGTAATTGGACATCACATTTTAACTCTGGTAAAACCATTGTTAGACACAAACACTTCCTATTTGACCTTGTTCAATAAACTTCAATCTCATGTTTAGCACAAATCTATCAAGTGATTCATACCCTACCTTCAAAATATCAGCTAAAGCACTGTACTCTGCCAGATGTATCATAACAACTCTCATTTGCTAAATACAATTTTGTTTTATTTTCTTTTTACATTTGCTGTGGTTAAGATTCAGGGTATATTCAATTGACAACAATTACAAAGATTGATAATACCCCTGTAACAGAGGTGTGCAGCAGTCGTCACTCACAAATCCTGTTGTTGTTATGTGCCATCAAGTCAGACCCAACTCATGGCAACCCCTCCTTGGGTTTCCAAGGCGGCATCACTACGGAAGTAGATTGCCCAATCTTCCTTCCGAGGAGTGGCTGGTAGGTCCTGTTAGTGGAAGTATAAATTGGCGATCTTTTCAGAGTGCAATTTGCAATAATTAACAAAGCTTTATGTGAACAATTTGACCAACCAAGGTCATGGTAGATTTACCTACAGAAATACTAACACAAGTGAGCCAAAATCTACACAATGCAGTTTGCCTGACATTGTGAGAAATGAAATGATTTTGTCAGAAAAGATGTAACACAGCAGGCCTGAGACTGCTATCCTTAAAAAGACTTTCTTTACGAGGTCCCTAGCTGGTGACCGGGAATGTGGCTAATAAAAGTTTCTATATTGATATTAAAAGAGCTCTAGTGGCTCAGTGATAAGGCATTTGCTTGCTAAAGGGAAGGTCAGCAGTTCAAACCCACCAGCTGCTTCATGGAATGAAGATGCAGTGATCTACTTCTGTAAAGCCTCGGAAACCCAAGTGGGGGTCACTATGAGTTGGAAGCGACTTGATGGCAGTGAGTCTGGTGATTTTGGGATTTTACACTGATATTAAAGCTTTGCCTAAATGGTAAGAGTGGGTCACTGTGCCTAAACTGTTTGTACACACAATAGGATTTATGTTGATCACATGCTTTCCTCCTGGGAGTCTGGAATTTTGGGACAGGTGAGGTACAGCATGACTACATGGCCAGCCTCCAATTAAAAAAAAAAATCATTTCATTTCTCACAATGTCTCTAATGAACTTCCCTTTCAGATAGCACTTCACACATCACAACAAATTGGTATCCGAAGCAAGTATGTTCCCTATGACTCTGCTGGGAGAAGACTCTTGGTATCTTCTACCTGGCTCCCTCTGGGCTTTGCCCATATGCCTTTTCCCTTTGCTAGTTTAATAATGCTGTCATAAATCTTAGCTGTGAGTACAAATATACACTAAGTGCTCTGATTCCTTCTAGTGAATTACTGAACCTTGAGGTGGCCTTGGGAATCTGTGACACAGAATCTGTTGTTGTTGTTGTTGTTGTTATTTGCCATCGAGTCGGCCCCGACTCATAGCGACCCCTCCTTGGGTTTCCAAGGCAGTATCACTACGGAAGTAGGAATGCCCAACCTTCCTTCCAAGAATCTAAGGTCCTACAATAAAGCATCGGTAAAAAAAAAAAGCAGTCATTAAAATTAATATGGAGAAATGTCCAAAATATATAAAAAGCAAGACCAAAGTTGCAAAGATAGTATTATATTATCATCCTGTTTTTCTTTAAAAAGGTAGTGGAGGAATTTTATATGCACTGAAAACTGAAAAGATCATTTCAGTTATCTCACTCTAGTCTGACATTTTCTTAATAAGCATTACTTTTGTAATAAGAAAACAAAGTAAGATTTTAAACAATTAAGATGTGGATTTAAAAAAGAAAAATAGGTTCTGTATAATACAATAGTAAAATATAACTTATGTAAAGGGAATGCAACTGTTGGACTAGAAGAACACTATCTCCTGCAGCAAACAGTCCTGGTTACCTACCCCACAGCTATCCCTCCCTTCTTCCAGGCCAGCACAACCCCATTTTTCAAGTGTTCACCTCGCCACAATTCTAGAGATAAATCTTGATGGTCTAAATAATAAGCATTCCCATTGCCAGTACCTGACAAAGTTGCTAAAGGATGTCTACTATTGGTAGATATGGAAGGTGCTATCTGAGAAGGATTTCTTTGTACTTAAAGAGGAACAAGGAAAAAATAGTACTTTTCCAGCAGATGTTGCCAGATCTTTATGTGACACCCACTAGACAACAGGCCAACAACATACTAAGTAAGGAAGGCACAGCTGAAGCAAGTAAAAACCCAACGTGGGTATACGAAGGCATTATAACTGATGTACTAGACAGCCCAGAGCCATCCTGCACTGTACTAATTAGTTTTATAATAATTTTTCCTTACTGTTTAAGCCATACTGAAGTGGGGTTTTATGACACAGTCAAAAGCATTCCTCTGGATTTTCATTATCTGTTGGCTCATATAAAAAGACACTGGGATTATATATCTCACTCACTGCCATGGAGTCAGATCCGACTCATAGCGACCCTTCATTGAGTTTCCAAGGCACTCAGGCAGCACCTGCCACACTCAAGGCTGGCTGTTCACACCCACCAGCTGCTCCCCGCCAGGTAGCCGGGCCATCTCTTTTTGGAGCTCTGGTAGCATAATGCCTAAGGTATCTGACTGCTAACCAGAAGGCTGGCGATTCAAACCCACCAGCCACTCCTCGGAAGGAAGATGGGGCAATCTACTTCCGTAGTGATACTGCCTCAGAAACCCAAGGAGGGATCGCTATGAGTTGGGTCCGACTAGATGGCAAGTCACAACAACAACAACATCACTACAAAAGTAGATTGCCCAATCTTCCTTCCAAGGAGTGGGCTGGTGGGTTTGAACCGCCAGTCTTCTGGTTAGCAGTCAAATGCCTTAGGCACTAAGCCACCAGAGCTCCTGGATTATATACCAGATCTCTGAATCTGTATCCCAGATGCACAATTTACTAACTTTGAGAATTTAAACATGTTACTTACCATTCAGAGGTACAATTTCATTTTACAAGTGAAATGATACCATGTACTTTATAAATACTGTTGTGAAAACATGGTGTTAGCTCTACAATGTTTGTAAATTTATCAGGCAGACTGTGTAAATTAATCTGATACAAAAATGGCCAATAATGAATCCACATTTCCAAGCATCTCAACCTTAAGAGTATTTAAATCCAAGCATCCAGCATCCATAATATGAAAACTACTCTATTAGCAAAAACATTCAACGTTAGTCAAAGGAAATAACTGCTTTTAGTAGCTTATTTGATAGTATGGACCCTGTTGTTGTTATGTACCATCAAGTCGGACCCGACTCATAGCGACCCCTCCTTGGGTTTCTGAGGCAGTATCACTACGGAAGTAGATTGCCCTGTCTTTCTTCCGAGGAGTAGCCAGTGGATTTGAACTGCCAGCCTTCTGGTAAGCAGTAAAGTGCCAAAGCTCCTAGTGTGGACCCTAATAAACGAAAATTTGATTCAGTTTGTATATTGAGTTTAGAAGACTATATATGTATACTCAAACCAAACTCACTGCCATTAAGTCAATCCTGACTCATAGCAACCCCCACTGAGTTTCCAAGGCTGTTAATCTTTACGGAAGTAGAATGGCCCATCTTCCTTCCACAGAGTGGCCGGTGAGTTTGAACCACTGACCTTCTGGTTAGCAGCCAAATGCCTTATCCACTATACCACCAGAGCTCCTTATACACATACAAACATACACGTACATAAACACTTACAAGTATATATCACACATTTTCATTCACAGGACATTTGTAGATTTGGATTTAGTCTTCAGCCCAGATAATAAATTCCTGGATAATACAGTGGTGGAAAACAACATTGAGTATAATGAACTGCATGATAGATTGAGCCAACTACAAGCTACGGAGAAGATGTACGCTATTGGCAAAAATTCAGACAACACAATTCAATCAAATGCTTTTTAAATGCCTAGCATTAGAAATAGAAAGTGATATTCATGAAGCAACAGAATTTTTTTCTGAGTACTATTTTGTTCTATAAGCACATTTTAGTATTTAATAAAGCTCTAAAAAGTTGTATGAGAAACAATCTGCATTTAAATATTATAAACAATGTACTATTTAATCATATAATAATATATGTGTACATTATATGTATTATGCACACATAAATATATCTACATATACACATATACTGGCTCACATACATATATATTAGACCAAAAGGAGTTTTGAAACAAGCACTAATGAATATTCATTTGATTACAGAAACAGAAATGAGTTATGAACTTCGTAAAGTATTAAATAATCTATTGGTCATGTAACTTTCAATGTAAGTAAAATATAGCAAATAAGGCAAAAGCTTTATTGCACTTGACCCCACAATATCCAAAATAGCAAATATACATCATGAACAAATCCATTATCAAATTATACATACAAAAAAATAAGCTACTTACATTAATAACAATATTTCAAGTCAAAAGATTTTAAATGGCATAGATAATATAAACAAACTGTACTAAGACAGTAAAATATCACAAAAAGTTATAGCAAATAGTAACAGTCTACAATTAACAGGACTTTTTCTATTACATTCCAAGTCCAAGTATTATTTCTATTTATGTAGGTTTTGTAAAAGAAAATGTTAAAATTAAATTTCAGAGTAAACTTTTACTCTAATTTTTTTGTGCTCTTATTCTAAAACTTTGTTAAGATATTACCATTTCAAAGAAACCACCCACAGTTCCCAGAAGAATATTTTTAATACTGGCAGTCTTCCCATCCAATACATCAGATACACTTATTTCCTTTTGTCAGAAAGCTCAAAATTAACAACTTTATGCCAGGTTCTTTATTCAGTATGTTCTTTTCCTCTTAGGTCCAGTGAACTCTAAAGATAAAAAATTTAGAAGTTCGTTAGGTCCAAAAAATAGTACTTAATTGATAATACACATTTAAGCTACATAGACATTTAACTGGTGATACACAGTAAAAATGCCCTCACAGCAAAGATCCAACAAGAAATCTTAAACATGACCATATCCATGAATTTTTCCTTCAAAATGAGATTAAAGTTTAAAACTTGCCAATGCGAATCTTAGTCAACCTAAATCCTACTTAATAAGCTACTTTGAAGTTGTTTCATATAATTATCATGGGTCCAGTGTTTCAAATATGAAAGGTTCTAGGCCAGCATTAAGAAAGATAAACTAAATGGCTAAGATTTCTATTTCATTTACTTTAGTCTGAAAATGTAATCCAAAACACTAATACTGTACATCTTTCTGGCTACCACAGCAACTGCCATAGCCAACACTCAAGTAAGTGTCCATGTACAAACAGCTGTGAATCTACAAATTATTAAACATTAAAAGAAAAAAAAAAGAAGAAGAAGAGACAAACACATAAAAAAAGGAGGAAATGTGAAGGAAAAAAAAAAAAAAAGAAAGACTACTTACCAATGAAAACCAAAAGAGGAATGGCAGGAAAAAGAAAAAATAAGGAAAAAATTAAGAAGAAAAAGAAAAGAGATTCCTAGAAGACAGATGCAACCAGGATAAAGAACGCAGCAGACCAAGAGAACAGATGGTCCAAATCAAAGCAGGTCAGAGGCCTGGGAGAGACTTTCAGAAGAAGAAATTGACAGAGTATCTAATGTGCCTGAATGTGCTATGAGTAGATTTATACAACCAAAGATAAACTAGTGATAAATACATAGAAAGGAAAACAATTAAAAAAGCAAAATAAGTTATTGATTCTCCATGGAAAATAATAAGTGTGCAGATAAAAGCATGAATTAAAGTATACTACATGGACCTGCTGTCAGTAGTGTTCTGTAAGTGCTGACCACTAATGTAACTAAAATAAGTATACTGGGAAGGTTGGGGGTGGGAAATATGTATGTACTTGGAGGTGGGAAGTAAAGAATATACAAAAAAAAAAAGCTAAATCCTCACCCTCTTCAGAAAAGAGGGAAGTAAGAGTTCACTGAATTGAAATAGAAAGAATTATGAATAATCTGAACTGAAATCTGAAACAATATAAACATGTTATTCACAGACATGGAAGTAACTACCAAAACAGTCAGTAATCAGTTAAAAGTGGTTGTCTCTGGGGAATAAGAAACAGAAGTCAGTAGCAGAAAACTGCATTTCCAGTAATGAACAATGTAGAAATATGCTGACCAGAAGGTTGGCGGTTCAAACCCACCAGCCACTCCTCAGAAGGACAGGTGGTCAATCTACTTCTGTAGTGATACTGCCTCGGAAACCCAAGGAGGGGTCGCTATGAGTCGGATCCAACAGCAGCACACGTATATATAATTATGATACAAATGAAAATCAAATTTTACAAAATCACATGCTGACAGATATTTGGAATGTGACTTACCAGGTAGCCGTGAAGGTTATACATACGTGTTTAATTGTTTATTCACACACACACACACAAAAGCCTTTAATCAAGGCTAGGGCAAAACAAAGGTACTCTGGTAGTATAGTGGATAAGGCATTTGGCTGCTAACGGGAGGGTCAGTGGTTCAAACCCACTAGCTGCTCTGCAGAAGGAAGACAGGGCAATCTACTTTCGTAAAGATTTACAGCTTCAGAAAACCAACTGGGGTCACTATGAGTCAGAATTGACTCTATGGCAGTGAGTTTGGTTTGGTTTTTATGAGGGCAAGTCTACAGTGTAAAACTCACCATAAGACTATAAAGAACCCTTATGCTGACAAAAGCAAACCCCAGAAACGCTCGTATTTCTGAAGAAACAAGTACTCCCTTTTAATGATCTGTTCTTTGTCTCAATTCCTATGCTTCAGTAGGGCCCTGTTTCTTTTTACCACTGTGTATGGTGTCATTCTTCTCTTACAGTGAATTACAAGGTCCTTGGGTACATAATATGCCCTGATTAATTCAACAAATATTTACTTAGGTCCACTACACGCCCAGCACTGTGCTCATATCTAAGACAACTCTGATCAAAACAAGTACAGTATATATCTTTATAGCTCTGTGCCTAGCTAAATGCCTGATACACAGTACCCACTCAGTAAAAGCTTGTTGAATAAACAAAATGAAAGAATACTCGGGCATTATACTTAATACAAATTATATTCATTATTATTGCTAGACTCCAAATCATCAAACCTGCCCTGCTAATGTAACCTATTCTCTGTAATAGTGTAATTATTATTACAGGAAATAAAGTGTTAATAAGGTGGGGGTGGGGGAGCTTTGCCTTTGAGTCAACTCTGACTCATAGCGACCCTATAAAACAGAGGAGATTTGTCCATAGGGTTTCCAAGGCTGCAAATTTTTATGGCAGCAGACTGCCACACATTTCTACTGCACAGCAGCTGGTGAATTTGAACTGTCAACCTTCTGGTTAACAGCCAAGTGCTTTAGCCACTACCCCACCAGGGATCCTTGTTTAATAACTACTAAAAATCATTAAAACTACAATATTAAAAGTATAACTATTTTAATTCATGTTATGCAATATGCCACTATTTATTACAAACATTTCAGAGGTAAAAATTTTATACTGATTAACATTTGAAATAGGGATTTTTTTTTAACAATGTCTTATTCTCTAATGTGCCAAATATAAAGCATCAAAAAATACACAGTCAACTGTTATGCTTTTTAAAGGATCTAAACCATGTTTCCTTCAGTATTTGACAAAATTCCATCTATACCTGTTTTACTAAAAGTTTGATTCTGTTCTTCCTCCTCTTCTGTAATTATAGGCATACTCAGACTTAAAGCTTTATCTTCCTTATTTACATTCTGCATGTCACCTGGAAATATTTGGATAATCATTTAATTTGAAAATGAGACTATTAAACTTTGAGAAAAGTTTTTATATAAATAAAAAAAAGTCATTATTGTAACATAAAAATTAGATATTTACACTAAACACTGAAATTGTAAATGGCAAACAGGACTATACATTCTAGAATATATATCTTTTTTTAAAAGTATTCATATATTTGTATCTGTGCTTGAAAATTTTAGTTTCTACTTTTCCTACTAAAGTGAAGAAAAAGGAAGAAAAGGGAAAAAACAAAATTAGCCAAACACAATTACCTTATTACAATTTCTATCATGTATCTGCAGACATCAGGGAAGAGTAATGGTTTAATGCACCATTACTGAACTAATTAATCACAAATATAATTTTAAAAGTAACAACATTGTTTCTAAATGCAGACATACCTTCTCTTGTCACCAGGTATATTCTACAAGGTATATTTCTCTAATCGTAATTTCCTACTGACTTTACACTTCCAAAAATACTGGAGATTTTCTACATCAATCTTCTGATGCCTAAAGAAATATACTAATCAATTTTACCAAATACCATTATAACATGAGATACTATTTATCACCCAGTTTCCATGTCCCAATTGCAATCTCTCTCACACACAGTCCCTCTTTATCCTTTATGCTGCTCACAACAAATTATGGGTAACATTGCAAAGAATGGGAATTCCAGAACACTTAACTGTGCTCATGTGGAACCTGTACGTAGACCAAGAGGCTGTCATTTGAACAGAACAACGGGATACTGCATGGTTTAAAATCAGGAAAAGTGGGTGTCAGGGTTGTTTCCTTTCACTATACTTATTCAATCTGTATGTTGAGCAAATAATCTGAGAAGCTGGACTGTCTGAAGAAGAATACACCATCAGCATTGGAGGAAGACTCATTAACAACCTGTGATATGCAGATGACACAACCTTGCTTGCTGAAAGTGAAGATGACTTGAAGCAATTACAGATGAAGGTCAAAGACGATATAGCCTTCAGTATGGATTACACCTCAACATAAAACAAAAATCCTCACAACTGGACCAATTAGCAACATCATGATAAATGAAGAAAAAAATCAAAGTTGTCAAGGATTTCATTTTACTTGGATCCACAATCAATGCCTACAGAAGCAGCAGTCAAGAAATGAAATTATATACCACAATGGGTAAATGCGCTGCAAAAGATCTCTTTAAAGTGTTAAAAAGTCACTTTGACGACTAAGGTGAGCCTGATACAAGCAATGGCATTTTCAATTGACTCCGATGCATGCGAAAGCAGGATAATGAGTAAGAAAGACCGAAGAATTGATGCCTTTGAATTATGATGGTAGTGAAGAATATTAAATATATAATTAACTGCCAGAAGAACTAACCAACCTGTCTTGGAAGAAGTACAGTCAGAAAGCTCCTTAGAAGCGAGGATGGCGAGACCTCTTCTCATGTACTTTGGACATTATCAGGAGGGACCAGTCCCTGAAGAAGGACAACATACTTGGTAAAGTAGAGGATCAATGAAAAAGAGGAAGGCCCTCAATGAGACAGATTGACACAGTGACTGCAACAAAGAGCTCAAACACAGCAACAACTGCGAGGATGGTGCAAGACAGGCTGTGTTTCCTTCTATTGTATAAAGGGCACAACTCTCTGGAACAACAACAACAATTCTTCTCCACAACACTGTTCATCTGATATGCTATGTATTAATTTGTTTCTATACAGTATATCTTCCCACAAGATTCACAAGAATAGATTTTGGTTTGTTTACTTGATGTACCCTCAACACACTTGGAAAAGTACTTCGCATATGGTCTCAACTATTAACACAATAGTGCACAGAAATGATGTATTAGTAAGTACCTGTCAGCACAGGAGGAAACAAATTAAGTGAAAATGAGTCTACACTTTCTGCTCTGAACAGAGATACACTGAGATCTTCATGAGGCACAGACTTTATGGAATGAATAGTGTACACTAAGATGAAGCTGAGTAAACTGTAGCAATAGGTTCTAATTTAAACACAATTAATACAATAAATAATGTTATTTTCCTGTTAAGTCATTAAAATATGATTTGACCTTTACTTGTAAATCCTAAATATTAAATACAATGATATTTTCTCAATCTCTAAGATGAAAGTAATCTTTAAAATTTTTCTATACTTAATCGTGTCTTTTTTTTAGACTTTGAAACTATACATTTTTTTTGTTGCTCACAAAATTATAATCAGTACTATCTATCCCAAATTACTAATATTGTTCTTCACAGTCTTTTAGTCATGTCCATTCCCATCAATTATTAATGATTTTTTAACCCTCCATCTCCAACCTAACAGAATCTATCTAACATCAAGAGAAAGATTTCTGAGTTAAAAACTGACATCAGAAACAAGGCTTCATGATGATTAACTATAGATTATGGATCTATTTCTCTAGAATATCTCTTTCTATATTATATTCTACTTCTATGTGTGGTAGTTAAGGTTGTGTGTCAACTTGGCTGGGCCTGGCTGAGTGGCTAGGCAGCTGGTAGTAGTTATTTCCCATGGTGAGACTGGCAATCAACTCCATGGTAGGATCTACCACACCTAAGCAGCTGCTTTAGGGATGTGGTCTGCTTCCCGTATATAAGCAGCAGCTATGGGAATGGTCTCTAGCTTATGGCATGCTTGAACCCTGCGTGTAGCCGAGTCATGGTTCAGCAGCCTGCCATGTTCTGCCGATATTGGGACTTTTCAGTGGACTTGAATCAGTGGCCTGTCATGATTTTGGTTTGGTAACGTCGGAACTGTGCCATTTTATTTGCTGACTTTGGACTTGTCAGCCTCAGCAGCCAGTAGCTGCCTGAGTGAAGAGATGCCTCTAGCTTCAGTGGGCTGGGGAGCAAGAGGCAGAGCTGAAGCCCAAAGTCGAGGGGCTTTCACCCAGACCCTAGAGGCTGGCACTTGGAACTCAGACTTCTAGCCTCCAAAAACTGTAAAGAGAATAAACTAAACTGTAAAGAAAATAAACTAAACTCCTGTTTGTTACAGCCATCCCATTTGTGGTATATTCCTGTCAGAGGGGCACTAGGTAACCAAAACGCTATGTTAAATTAACATAAAAGATTAAAAATATTAACTTAAAAGAAAAAAAAAAGTTCTTCAATAGCTTTTAAAACCAAATACAATGTCTCACCCATCTAGAATGCAGTGAGGAACAATGAAAGCATAAAACTTCGGAATGTTTATATCTCAAAGTCCACATATTAAATAAAGCTTGTGAAATCTGATCACAGGTGTGTTTAAGCTTTTATCCAGAACTCAGCTATATTTACTGTACATAAAACTGACATTAATGACCGACCAGTTTCCTAGACTATTACAGGTTAGAAGCAGGAAAAGGACAAAATATTGTTACAAAGTCTGTATACTGAGGACAGAAAGAAGACAACCACTAAACAGCAAATGATACAGAAAACTATTGGATTTTAAAAAGCCATAAGAACAATCAAAGTACTCCAGCATGAAGCCATTTATTATCAAGAGAAACTATCCCCCACCACTTGTCTGATATTATCATTGTATCATAACACACATGAAAATAATATGCCCATGATGATATCCTTGAATCATCATGAGAAAATCAAATTACAGTGACTGAGAAAATGGGAGCACATGAAATATATTAAGTATTTTCCTAATTATAAAAATGATAAATGCACATTGCAGAAAACAGAAATCCTGCAAATAAGCATACAACATATTTTAGAATGATATCAACCAGAATAATTAAATTTTTTAAAAGAAAAGTTTTGGCATTTTAATTATTAATGTCAGTTACCCACAAAACTAATTCCCAGAGAGTGTCAGATAGCTAGTTTTACTCTGCACAACACTGATCATATGGGACATAATGATCATGTGGGATGTAACAGACCATTGCTCATTCTCAAAACAGGATTGCTAGACATGCATCTAGAAGTCGATTAAGAATAAAAGTAAGCACATGTCTAATTTAAGCTCCAGATCTACATTTCCAGTTTCCTGAGAGGCAGCACAGTGCAGCAGTTAACTCAGGTGTGGATTCTGCCACACTCTCTTGTTCAAGTCTGAGCTCAACGGCACCTAACAACAACATTAAGTAATATAGTGTGGCTAGTGAAGGAAATGCTAGATTTTTATCAAATGTCTTTTTTGCTAACTATTGCAATGAACGCACATCCTCCCTTCTTACTCATTTATATGGTAAATTATATGAAGAGAGTCTTAATAATTGCACCATTCTTACATTCTAGATAAAAACGATCAAGGTGTTTTGTATCTGGGCTTCTTTTTGATACATATGATTCAGGATGTTTTCAGTAATATTTGTAAGTGAAATTGGTCTAATGATTTCACTAAGGATGTCAGGCTAGCTTTATGAAAAGAATTAGAAAACTCGCCTGAATTATTTTTTGATCACTCTTAAAATACGATACTTCCTCCGAATTCTCCGTGCACTTCAAGCAACTATTAAGGCATTTAATCAATACCTAGGATATATTAAAGGTATTTAGCTTCAATTCTCCCACCACTGCCTCATTAAAGGGGGAAAATCATGTTGAAAAGCCATTATTGACTGTCATATACTCCCGCAGTGTTGGCAAATACTGAAAATACCAGGGACTGCTAGAAGACGAACAAATCTGTCCTGGAAGAAATGTAGATGGAATGCTCCCTGAAAGTGAGAAAGGCCCAACCTCTTCCCACCTAGGAATGCTGGTCATTTGTCCATTCACTGGAGAAGGATATCATGCTTGGAAAAGTAGGTCAGCAAAAAAGGGGAAGACCATCAATAAGACGGACTGACACAGTGGCTGCAATGATGGGTTCAAGCATAGCAAAGATTGTGAGGATGGCACAGGACCAGGCAAGTGTTTCCTTCTGTTGTACACAGGGTACCTATAAGTCAGAGCCAACTCAAAACACCTATCAACAATAAAAACATACACCTGTGCCAGACAGGAGTGTGTTATATATTGTTGGGTTGCTGTTGTTATGTGCCATCAAGTTGGACGCGACTCATAGCGACCCCTCCTTGGGTTTCCGAAGTGGTATCACTACAGAAGTAGATTGCCCAAACTTCCTTCCGAGGAGTAGCTGGTGGATTTGAACTGCCAGCCTCCTGTTAAGAGTCAAGTGCCTCAGGCACCATGCTACCAGAGCTCCCATGTTATGTATTAGGTATTAAATATTTAATCATATTTCAACTTTATGACGAATATATATTTTTGTGTAATTAAAAAAAAAAAAAAACTATTAAAAGATAGTCATTAGTTTATAAATCAAACGCCCAAAGTAATTTTACACTAGTTCAAAAGATAAGCATATACAGCTGAATTAGTAAAGCTAAAATTTACTATTTATCATCTTACTCTCCACGTACGTTTAATTTACAAACAAAATTGACTAATAAAGTATACACTGTATAAATCTAGACTAAATCTTTGTTTATCTACATCACTATCTATTGGCCTTAATTTTACCAACTATGAAATGAATTTTCTATGACTGCTGGGTCCCTTTCAGCAGTAAGATTCCAAGAACCTAAGAGAATTTATTTGTAATAGTGACTCTTATAAGGTTCTCAGTAAAACAAGTATCCAACCATTTACAGTAAGAAAACAAAGATGAGGGGTGATTGTAAGTAAGACCCATTCTCCTTGATTCTCAGTAAGCCTTTATAAAGCTACCTTTGTTTTTGGCAGACATCTTCCTTCCTGATGATCTCAGTGCTTCCTTATTTATTTTTCTCTCAGTTGGTTTGATTTGTCCTTGACCAGATGCAGAATCAGAGTCAGAAGAGTCAAGTTTGACTTGACGATGCCTTCTGGATTTGGATGCCTGAAGAGTTAGAAATCTAATTAACCACAAAGAATTAGAAAATGAATCCAATTGATAAGTAAAATAATAGAAAAGTATGCAGTAATTAGAGAAAGACAAAACACAATCAAATGAGGGAAGATTTAGAGAAATACTTATCATTAAGTATTCTACCTTCACAGTGGGTTGCTTAATATAATCACTTGTCCCATATACACAGTCTGTCTTTTATCTTTGTAACATGAAAAGTTCCTTTCTGCTGCCATTACTGTGCACTCATATTGGTTTAAAATGCAATTGTTCCATTAGCAGGAATAGTTGGGGAATGGAAGTATAGAGGACAAGTACTATTTTTTACTGCCTAATAACCTAATCCTTCCTTCTTCTAATAATAACACTTTATTTTCCTTAGGCACCACCATGTATTTTGAGTGTAGCTACTTATCCGTGGCTCCAGGTATGGCCACGTGGCACAAATGCATAGCTAAATATCCCCAAGGTCATTCTGATTTATAATGTTCAGGGGTGGGCAAATGAACTGAAGCATAGCTAATGTAACTCAATTTTAGAATCGTTTAACTGTTAGGATGGAAAATTTCATCTTTCCGTTAGGCTGGGCATATGCAAGGCTGGAGCTTCACAATAGCACATGAAGACAGTGAAATCAATACAAGAAATGAAAGAGGAAGGGACAGTCCCAATGATATCTGTGCCTGAGACCAGCTACCCAAGGGCATTTTAGTTAACTCTGTCAATGAATTCCCTTATTTGCTTAATCCAAAGAATGCAGACTAACAAAAGTAGTTTTCAGCCAATGCTGTATATGTTGTATCCAAACCCAAACCAAACCCACTGCCATCAAGTCTATTCCAACTCATAGCAACCCTATGGGACAGAATAGAACTGCCCCATAGGGTTTCCATAGCTATAAATCTTTACAGAAGCAGAATACCACATCTTTCTCCCATGGAGTAGCTGATGTATTCAAGCCATTAACATTTTGGTTAGCAGCCAAGAGCTTTAAGCACTGTGTCACCAGGGCTCCTACATGCATTAACAATTCTTTAAAAACTACCATGCATTGTATGTCAATTGTACCTCAATAAAGAAGGTGAGGAAAAACTACTACCATGCAAAGACACACACTTATGATAATTTATGGGGAACATAATTGTTTAATGATATAAAAAATTATTTCAAAATGCCTTAAGGTAAACACTACACATTAACCACAATTTTACAATATAAAAAGAGATCTCTGGTTAAAAAGAATTTGAGATAATTAATTATTGTCCTCGGTGCTTTTATACAATGTTTATACTCCATTTATTCTGTGGTAGCAAATAAATAACAGGTAACTAATCTATAGACTTGGAAGGAAGGTTGGGCAAACCCAAGGAGGGGTCGCTATGAGTCGGGGCTGACTCTACGGCACATTAACAACAACAACGACAACAACAATCGATAGTCAGGAAACCCGGAAACGGAAAGAAGGTTGGGCAATCTACTTCCCTAGAGATACCAAACCAAACCAAACCCACTGCTGGATCGACTCACAGCGACCCCTCCTTGGGTTTCCGAGGTGATATCTCTACGAAGTAGATTGCCCAACCTTCCTTCTGAGGAGTGGCTGGTGGGTCTGAACCACTAGCCTTCTGGTTAGCAGTCAAATGCCTTAGGCACTATGCCACCAGAGCTCCTTCCCTCGGAAACCCTGGGAGGGGTCGCTATGAATCAGAAATGAGTCCAGAGCAGTGAATTTGATTTTTTTTTTTTCTTTTGGTAATCTATAGTCACTTTTAATTTTTTTCATTTTTACAACTGGAAAATAACAGTAATTTCCCACAGAATAAAGACATTCTTAGACTTATGATAAAAAATCCAGGAAAAAAACAGCTACTGTATACCATGCAATCCTCAGCCTATACAACTATGAGATCAGAAGAACTAGATGGTACCCAGCTACCACTGTCAACCACTCGAAGGGATCCTACAGAGATCCTGGATAGAGTGGGAGAACAATGTGGAACAAAACTCAAAATCATTTAAAAAAAATAAAAAAGGACCATGTCTGCTGGTCTCATAGAGCCTGTTGAAACCACTGAGACAATGGCCCCTAGCTGCCCTTCAGGTCTAGAATTGAACCCACTCCTGTGGCTTTCAGCCAAACAAAAGACAGGCATATGAGCTGAACATTTACATTAGGTAGATACACTTCTTGGAAAGATCAATCATGGGAGATTAGAAGGGCTGTGTATGCACAGGGAGACGGCTTGGGGGCAAGAGTACATGGGAGGGAAGGACACAGGAAAGAGATAACTATGGAGAGGATATGGGAGGGGAGCTGTTGCATTGGGTAAATTGTAGTCAATGTCATGAGACAAAGTGTATGTGAACTACTGTGAGGAAAGTGACTTCACCCAAATCACAATCAAAATTTTAAAAAAATAAAATAAAATAGATAAAAACATAGATTAAGTACACATATTTGTATCTGTGCTTCTTCCTGAAACTCCACTAAAACAACAGCCAAGAAATAAAAAACTATAAACCCACAAAAACAAAGATAACAGGAAATAAATAACAAAATTTTACAAAGTGGGAAAGCGAGTGACAGCTAATTTAACAAAATGAAGAAAGCATCAACCTAATTGTCTGAACGGGGGACATTAGTATAAAGCAAATTAATTCCAGTGGATAAGAAATTGGAGTAATCAGAAATGTGGTAGATCTCTTAAAAATCTACATAGGGAACAGTGTCCTATTCCCAGCCTCGAAACTAAGTAACTAACCTCCTCCTCCAGTAGAAAATAAAAGGTCTGCGCCCTGCAGAGGCTAAACCACCAACCTTTAAGCTTGAGGAAACAGGAATAGTTGACGATGGGGATGAGGCCGGTCACTGAAATTTGAGGGGTTAAGTGAAACCTACATTAAGGAATGGTAAGCCTCTTCCTGGTTCTCTTTGTAGACTTCCCAACACATTGCAACTGGGCTTATTTCCCATGTTTCTAAAATTCTCCCCTGGTAAAAATGACTAAATCTAAGAAAAAGAAATACTAAGGTGAAAAGAGCTTTACCTGACCAGTCTTAAATATGAACAGACATCTGAAAAAAGCACTAATATGAAAGGTAGTTGTCAACTCTGAGGAAACTTCAAAATAATATAATTAACATC